CTAATGTTGTGGTAAGTTCATGTGGTCTTCAGATAATTTATGTTATTAGGACTCTGAGGAAGAGCGCGAAACTATCAGGTATGAAAACAAACTCTTGGACAGTGTCTTGCACAGAAACACTTCTTTAATTTCCTTCTTGACTGAATCTTTCTCCAAGAGTAGAATGCTGTACTGCTATAATGGACTAATTCTATATTGTGGAACATTCCGAGCAAAGCAGCACCCTGAGCCACAATAGTTGTACAGTGCACCTTTAAATGACATCAACTGAAATGACCCCCTTTAACTTCCCTCATCCTCACATGTTTACACTGGTGTCTAAAGACAGAACAGGCTGAGCACATACCACACTTAAATCACTGCTTTTTCAGTTACACTTTGCCCAAGAATGCTCTGGCCGGACACTGGCTCCTTCAGTGTAAACCCGAGCGTTTGTACTGTGGTGCGTTTGAGGTCCCTCGGTTATTTTCAGCACCACATCACGCCCTGCTCTTTGTTTAGAAGGCCCAGCAGCAGCTTTCCTCCACGGGCTCTGGGGTTTTCTGAGGTGGTCCTGGATCCTGACCTCCAGCTCACCCTACGGCTCACCCTCCAGCTCACCCTACGGCTCACCCTCCGGCTCACCCTACGGCTCACCCTATGGCTCACCCTACGGCTCACCCTACGGCTCACCCTCCGGCTCACCCTCCGGCTCACCTCCGGCTCACTCTCCGGCTCACTCTCCCGCTCACTCTCCCGCTCACTCTCCCGCTCACTCTCCCGCTCCGCTCTCCTCCCGCTCAGCCTCCCGCTCAGCCTCCCGCTAACCCGATGTAAGTGGCACGTTGTGGGGCAGAGGAGATGCCACAATAAAGGCGGACTGGAGCTGTTCTGGGATCAGCTGGATTTAGATAAAGGTGTGGCTGTGGCTGCTCAGGGGCCACAGGATCACAGACACAAGGGCCCTCAGGCTGCAGGAGTGTAACTATTAGCTTTCATTAACGTTACATCAGTGCGTCACCAACACTTGTTCTTATAGGAGTTTTTTCCATTTCTTCTGCACATTTACACCAAGTTCTCAAACTGAAAACTCTGATCCACCCTGTGATGTCATGTGTCAGTACAGGATTCAATGTGTTTTTAAACTCCATACACCTTCACTGCAATTATCTGGATGATTAGGTAGAGAGGTCATGACATCACAAGGTGGAACAGAGCATTTTGAGCTTTGGAGATGTAGACAGACTAATAATAAAGGGCTACTCAGATGTGTGAATGAAACAAAACACAAGTCCAGGTGTGTTTTTGAGGAGGTAACAGCATTAGAGCATGGTTTAAAACTTGGAGTTATTTGAACCAACACTTCTGAGCAGAACTACATCTGGACACATCTGGCAAACAGACAGAAGCTCTGACAAGAACATGACATAATTAAAACATGGAGGCTTCAGAAAAACTCTTGACCTCATCTGTTGGTTAATGGTTTTCGTAATTACAAACATCAGACATTAAAGGGGCTTTTTTATGTAAGATGCACTTTTATGAGCTTTTAATCATGTGACAACAGAGCTCATCCGCTCTTTGTTTAATCACAGTTCATCTCTGCAGACTTCAGACTTCAAAAATGTCACTTTTTATTGACAAAAACATGTCAATGAAAAACCGTTTCCTGTTACGGTGAAATACCACGATGAAGAAAAGATACACTGATCCTATACTGGTGTCTGCAGCCACACTGAAACATCTGCTAGATTGGATATTGGCTCCCAAATATCGGTTCAGCCGATATCCTGCTTGGACAAATACATTTATGTAATAAGACTCTTTACTGTCACTGTAAACTCTCAGAATGTTTGAACTTTTATTTACACAAAGTTGTTCTGTAGTTACTTCAGAACTCTCTCCAACACACGTTTGGATCAGCTCTGCCTTATTTTATTTTAGTTTAAAGGAAATAAATGTGGTTTCACTCTCTGCCCTGGTACTGGATGATACTGACAGACAATTAAAGCTATAGTATCGAAATCAGTATCAGAACTGAAAAACTGCCTCTTCATAATAGGCATGAACCAATCCAGAGCGAAGTGAACAGGAGGAAGTTAACAGAACTGTTTCTAATAATATTCATCTGTTTTAGATCAATAAATGAGGAGAAGGGTTTATATTATTCTCTAATATAAAATACCAGATGTTTGCAGATCATGTCTTCTTTAATATTTTATTTTTATATTAATTATTTCACGTTACACAGTGGTGCAAAACTAGTTTTAAACACTGAAGGATACGGGATACAGATTTCCCTTTGTGCTCGTACAATACGCTCCTTAACATTTCTCCTTTAACTTCATAAAAAGTGATTTCTAACAGCTGAGGCCCAGTGTTGGTGAGCGTAGGACCTGCTCTGATGAAGCTCTGAGTTCTGATGGAGCTGCTCTGGTGTGTGTGTTTATGTGTGTGTGTGTGTGTGTGTTTATGTGTGTGTGTGTGTTTATGTGTGTGTGTGTGTGTGTGTTCTTAAGCCTGGCTCTTGTGTACAAACAGCAGGTGAATGGCTCATATTCACTCCTCCATCAAGGCTCTATTCACAGCTCTTTATTGGCTAACACTTAAACCCTCAGCTCGGATTCGTTAGGCTAAAACTCAGCACACACATAATGAGGTGTGATGAGGGGCCGATGGTGCCTGACCCCCTGACCGGCCCCTGGAGAAGGGGCCCTTTGAGGCGTGTTTGGACAGGCTCACAGGGGATATGAGACGTGCCTATGATCTCATGGAGAAGTAGTAATAAAGCTGACCAGAGCTCAGCGTTCAATGCTCAACTTGTGCACGGACAATTACAGGTTCAATAACATGCACTTCTGCAGCCCACCACCACCACGGCCATAACGGTGAGGGTCATGAGTCAGTGCTAGTGCAGCCTCTGAGAGGGTCTGAACATAAACTGAGAATGAGACAAAGTTGGATCACAGTTGTTGTCAATGATCATGTACAGTAATTATAAAATCTAATCTTCTTCTGAAAGCTTAATAATCTTAATAATTTGTCTTTCTTTCCAACTTTTCTAAGCCAAGAGCCAGTGACAATGTCAATGGTGTTTCATACTATTTAAGGCTACGTTCAGACTGCAGGGCTTAACGCTCAATTTGGATTTTTTTTGTGAAATCCGTTTTGTGAGGTCGTTCACATTTCCAATTAAATGTGACTTGTATGTGATCTCCAGTGTGAACATTAAATGGCCCAAAAGTGTCCCACACGACGACGTCAACCGCAGAGAGCGTGCTCTGTGTTTACAGAAGTTGTCCAAACATGGACGCAGCATTGAGCACCTGGAGATTTTAAAGTTCCTCTCGTACCGGAGCCAGAACATGAACAACTTACTTGTTTTAAAGAGGAGATTGAGAAGGAGAAGGACGAGGGTTTTGGCCGTGGTGTTTTGTGGGGCAGTGCGTTGAAAGGAACGTGTGGATGTGGAGACGTAGACAAGAGTGGTGAGTGGTGATGTGCTTCACTTCAGTGACACGGAGTTCATTAACAATTTTCGCCTACTTCAGTGCAGAATAGAGACGTTTGTGTCTTGTTGATAACGTGTAGGTGGATGAATGCACTTTGACCGTTCAGACTAAAGTCACATGTCAAAAGATCAGATATGTATCAGTTTCAGGAGCACATATCCAAGTGTCCTGGGTCACATTTGAAAAAACTGGATCTGTGTCGTTCAGACTGTCATTAAAAGATCAGATACAGGTCACATAGGAGCCAAAAAATCGTATTTGGGTCACTTCAGGCTGCAGTGTGAACGTAGCCTAAAAGTTCGAAGGATTGTTTTGTCTGGAATGTTCCACAGTATGACACTGAAGTGAATGTACTTGAGTTTGTCCATGTATGTGTCTTGTACAGATATATTGTGTAAGCAGCTCTTGAAATAAAATAAGCTATAAGCAAAATGAAATCAGCTGTGTGCTGTTTGCATCAAATTATAAAGTATTTTTATTGTCTGAGAATCAGGAAGTGAGTTGTTAAGCTGCTAGTTGCATGTCTTTAAGTGTATCCATCTCTCAAACCCACTCACTGTAAGAATTCATGTTTCTCAAAGGATTTCTCAGCAGTAAAAAACCTGAGTGTTTTCCCCAGTTTTAAACCATGTCCTTTATATTGTGGTTGTGCCCCTGGGCAAGACACTGGTTAGGTTAGGTCAGGTTGATTTATTCGTGCCCGTAAGTAAATTTGCTTTGCAGATTTGAGAGGCAGGCCCCACATTTCACATTTCACTCATCCACAAAACAAGTATAAAAACACAATTACAAAATAAAGTGTTACAGTGCTCCAGTGCAGAATGGTTTGTTCTATAAACAATTAGTTAAATTCATCCATCACGCTTGGCTAAAATCACAATAAATATTAAATATGTTAAAAACACACAATCTGAGAAAATAGATTACAGTTTAGTCATAAGTACGATAGCAGCCGGAACAAAGCTCCTTTTAAAATGATTTGTTCTAGATCTTGGGACTAAAAGTCTCTGACCAGAGAGAAGCAGCTGAAACTCTGAGTTTAGTGGATGTTGCACGTCTTTTAAAATCCTCTGGGACGTCCTCTGTAAGTATCTCGAGTCCAGAGAGTCCAGCGGCTCTGAGGATGAACAATCACCTCACTCATTTAACTGACTGATTCAGGGAGTTCTTGTTTTTAGTAGAAATGCTCCCAAACCAAGAGACCAATGAAAACATTAAAACTGATTCCATAAATGTTTTATAAAACAGTGTCATCATGGTTCTGTCTACACGGTAAAAGGAAAACTTTCTCAGACAGTCAAGGTGCTGGTGCCTCTTTTACAAACAGCAGAACAATCATCGTCAAAACTCAATTTTGAATCAATGAGTGTTCCAAGATAAGATATATATCTGTAAGAATATGTTGCCTATAACCAATTTTCCTACAGTTACTGTTTTTAGCCTGAATCATTTTTGTTATTTCCATTCTTGTAATTTACTTTAAAAAATGTGAAATAAAGATGTGTGTACCTGTGTGGTGAGTGTCTGGTGCGTGCTGGCTCTCTGTGCTCGGGGCTGTGGCGCTCGGGTCTCTGGTGCTCTCTGTGCTCGGGGGTCTGGCGCTCTCTGTGCTCGGGGCTCTGGCGCTCTCTGGCTCGGGGCTCTGGCGCTCTCCGGCTCCTGTGAAACAAACACACAGTGGGTTAAAAGAGCACAGAGCTGCAGAGATGTGCAGAGAGCGTTTCCACATCCACCCTCACATCCCCAGGACTCCGACTGTTCCGACTCTTTACGACACATGAGGGGGACGCCGGGAATACGGCGGACAGGCTGGGAATGATATTAAAGGTGCTGTACCTCATTTTTAGTGTCTTTAAAACATGAAAAACAGATCTAGTTCATTTAAAACCATTCACTGAGGTCAAAGTTCTTCTGTTAGTCTGAATGCAGTCAGAGCATCTTCATGATTCATGAGTTTATAAACACTTTCACTACTTTCAGGGGCCATTGTGCAGTTTGCCAACAACAATTAGCATGCTAACAGCGCACTTCCAGCTTTGTGAAGAAAAAAAAACCTTAACAATTTGATGCAACTTTCAGATGCCACTGTGGGGTTTACTAACAACAACTAGTATACTAACAGAACATTTCCTGGTTTGCTCATGTTAAAAAAAAAAAAAAAAAAAAAAAAACAAACACTTTACAATTTGATGCAACTTTCAGAGGCCACAGCACAGTTTCCCCAGCACTGTTAACAACAACCAGAATGCTAACAGAGAACTTACTACTTTGTGGAGGATAAAAACGTTTAACAATTAGACACTACTTCAGAAGCCAAATAAGAGTTTTGACATCAACTAGCATGCTAACAACAACTAGCATGCTAACAGCAACTAGCCGAGCCCCCAGGTTCCATAATGGCCGCCCATTCAAGTCAATGGGCTGAACTCAGTGGTGCATGATCCCAGATTCGCCTTTAGCCCGGCGAGGTACTTCCGGTGGCTGTGGGCCGCCCGAGCATGCGCAGTAGTGCTCTTTTCTCCCGCAGACACACGCGAACGCACACGAACGCATGCACGGTGCACAGGTTCGTGTATCATGTGATCGCTTTGACCAATCAGAGCGAGCGGAGCTAGAGTGGAGCTAGAGCTAACGATTATAAAGCCTTTTTTTAAGACAACTGAAGGATTTTGAGCTGAGAAAAAGTTTATGATCTAAAAATAGGTAAAATCACCACAAAATCCAAAATTTTTGAAAGTTGTAGGTCCCTGTCAGACGAACACGAGCAGTCTGTGATTACATTGCCTCTATGAGAAAAATCTTCTCTCGGTCCATGGGGTTTTTCCCGCTGAAGTTCCAGTGAGTGACACTACATCAACTGGAGGCAGCTACAAGCAGCAACACTGTATCCAGTTATTTTAATAGATCCATGCAACTAGCACGCTAACATCAACTAGCACGCTAACATCAACTAGCATGCTAACAACGACTTGTACACTAACAGTGCACTTCACTTTTGACCCAAAGAGCTGCTTAGAAAATACACGTGTACTGGGGCAAGACCATTTTTACTCTTCAAAATCTCGTCCAGCCGCTTAAAAGTATCGGACAGGATGAAAGCGGACTGTCCACCAGGAAGTCAGCTGATGTGTGCTTCCTGTGGGGAGGGGTCAAAGGTCATGGTCAAAGCTCCTCAGACCCTCCCGCTGTAGGGCACATGTTTAAGCAGCTGCACCACGCAACTCCCCTTTTACTTTCCACTGTAACGTGTTTCTCACTCGCTTTTATTTTTTATGATTTCTTTTCTATTTCTTTTGATTACACTTTGACTCTGAGCTCCTCTGTCTGGTGGTTCCTGATGGTTCCATTTCAGAGGTGGAAAGAATGGACAGTGTTGGGGAGTAACAGATTACATGTACCGGAGTTACATAATCAGAGTACAAATTATGAGTAACTGTATTCAGTTACTGTTTCAGTGAGTGGTAATTGGATTACAGTTACTTTGTTAAAATAAATGGATTACACAGAGGTATTTCCCTGTTTTCACATTTTGGGCTTTTTTTTTTCTCAGTAATTCCAATCATTGCTGGAAACTAAACCAGGTCTAAACAGGTCTAAAACCAGGTCTAAACCAGGACTAAACCAGGACTAAATCAGGACTAAACCAGGACTAAACCAGGACTAAACCAGGACTAAACCAGGACTAAACCAGGACTAAACCAGGACTAAACCAGGACTAAACCAGGACTAAACCAGGATTTAAGAGGACTAAATCATGCTGTGTGGACATGTCTCCTCTTCAATTAATAATGTTTTTAATTTGGTTAACTGAACAAAGCCCAGAGTGACCGTGAACGCCACAAACAAACAAAACCACTCACCCATCACACTGTTGGGTTTCCTTTAAAGTCTGGTGCGGTTTATTTGTGAAAAAAGTTTGAAAATAGACCATTTAATGACATGCGTCTTATAATCCAGAGTGTCTAATAGCCCGGAAAATACGGTAAGAATAATGCCATACTGTGGAACATTGGAAAGGCAATACAATCTCCATGGCGACAAGGAGGTCTACCAGAAAAGTTACATCTTTAAACACATTTTTCAATAAATCCTGATTCATGTTTACAGTAAAACCCGGACCTATGAAGTCTGCTGGATTTATGGTACTATTTTGTGTCTTGGTTCTCAAAACGATTAACCAATCAGAAAGCAGAATGAGCCTCACAAGTCTCATTTGTGTTGCCAGTTTCAACGCTGAAATCCAGTTGGTTTAAACCTAAAATGTGTTTCTGTGATCTGAATGGTCAGCACCTGCAACCAATGAGAATGAGACTGAGACTTGAACATATCGTCCTTCTAAAATCTCATCTCTTCACAATAATAACAGTGAAATCTTCCATGAATAATCTGTTGTTTCTTTGCAGCTTGTTTTACACCCTCCCCTTTCGCCTGGTTGTTTATGGGGCCCCAGCCGGCTTCAGACAGATGAATGGGAGCGCGGAGGGCCGTAAACCTGGGGCTCTGGGAGTTTAACCCTCAACCGCTCCGCTCCGACGTCAGCTGCACAAATACCCCCGCCCGCCACCACCTTTGAGCAAGACCCTCGCGCTCCTCCACCTGCCCCGTCAGCGCAGGAGCGGAGAGATTTAAACTAAAGGTCAGGACAGACGCGTCACACTGGGGAATCAAATATGTTCCACAGACAAAGCCAAATATGGAACATTTATAACTGCAGTATATTCATAGTCAGTGTATTCCCAAAAGCAGGAAATATTTGGACATTTATTGGGATCCTCTTTCATTGCATAAGGTTAAACTGAGGTCTGAGACAATAGTGGAGTAGTACGAGTCTCCAGGTGGGGCCTTTCTGTGTGGTTATCTCTCGGGGTCAGCCTTATCATCAGAAGAGCCTCTAGTCAGAAAATCCATGTTCAGGTCGTGTTACAAATTCTTACAAATGAAATTGTATTTCAAGTTTAAAATATTTTAAAAAGTAAATATAAAAAGTAATAAATATATTAAACCCTTAAAATACAGCAAAAATGTTGGAGGAAATAATGATTTGGGTGGAAATGTCTGTCTTAAGTGGAACAGGGTTAATAATTGTCTGATTTTCAGGCAACAACTTGTAAAATGTTCAGTAATTCGAGCTCTACAACCTTCATTTCAATTTTATTTTAAATCTTTTTCTTTTAATATAGCATTGGTGGGTTTATAAACCAACAAATGAAGTCATGTTGGCCTTAGCTAATGATGTTATGCATGATTATGCGTTTTCCTGTCAATATCTCTAAAAATGTTGATGTTGCAGCCATTTTGAATTGGTAAACATCCAAAAGTTTACTAATTCTTCCCTGATATCCAGGGATTATTCCCTGTTGCTTTCATCAAATATACATTCAATTGTTCAAGAGAAATGTTGCTGACAAACCAATTTCTGACTAGTGGGCCTTCTGACTAGTGGGCCTTCTGACTAGTGGGCTTTCTGATGATAAGGGATGTGTCTGCCAATCAGCATGTAGTCAGGACAAAACCTCACTCATATTTCTTTTCAACAAACAATGAGTGTGTACACATGCACATCAGTATCCCGGTTATGATCGGGTTTTTTGAGTATCCCAGTTTCTTTATGATGCATGTATACACAGTATCCTGGTTTCAGTATCCCAGTTATGGCAGTGTCCCAGTTATTAGAAACCGGGACACTGCCATAACTGGGATACTGTAGCTGGTATATTCTGATAGTAACCGGGATACTGTGGCATGTATACAAAGTATCCTGGTTACTGCAACGTAAAGTTGAGTGCGCATGCATCCAAAAGACAAACACTTTTCAGTCTTTTCACCGCAACAGTAGCGACATAAATAAAGTGACCGACATAAATAAAGTGACCGACATAAATACAGTGACCGACATGAATAAAGTGACCAACATGAGTGAAATGACTGTAGAATAAAAAAGCTGCGCTAAACCTGCACATGTACAATCTGCACTTGTATGATCGCTGAAAAGCTAAAACATGAACTATCTCCTGTAGGATACACGCACAGAACAGACTCACCATCATCAGCACCTCTTCTGTCACAAAAAGAACACACATAATCCACTGAGTCATGTCTTTTGGGCTACGTTCAGACTGCAGGGCTTAATGCTCAATTCCGATTTTTTGTGAAATCTGATGTTTTTGCGAGGTCATTCACATTTCCAATTAAATGTGACTTGTATGTGACTCCAGTGTGAACATTAAATGGCCCAAAAGTGTCCCACATGTGCACTGGAGACACGACGACGTCAACCTCAGCGAGCGTGCTCTGTGTTTACAGAAGTTGTCCAAACATGGACGCAGCATTGAGCACCTGGAGATTTTAAAGTTCCTCTCGTACCGGAGCCAGAACATGAACAACTTACTTGTTTTAAAGAGGAGATTGAGAAGGAGAAGGACGAGGTTTTTGGCCGTGGTGTTTTGTGGGGCAGCGGCAGCGACGTCCGTTGAAAGGAACGTGTGGATGTGGAGATGTAGCCGAGAGTGGTGAGTGGTGATGTGCTTCACTTCAGTGACACAGAGTTCATTAACAATTTTCGCCTACTTCAGTGCAGAATAGTGACGTTTGTGTCTTGTTGATAACGTGTAGGTGGATGAATGCGCTTTGACCGTTCACACTGAAGTCACATGTCAAAA